GGTCCCTAATTAAGGGTGGGTTTAAAAAATCTGTATTTTTAAATACGCTGCCCGGCAAATACAGTACGAATAAGCTATTTCAAGTTACTGTCCTTATCTGGTATTTTACTGTAGTTGAGATAACAGTTGACTGGATTTTAGGTAACTTGAAATTTTACAGTCAATATTGATTTGTTTTGTGCTTTTGGGTTTAGTTGAAACATTGATACTTAATTTAGGTGAAACTGAAATGTTTAAGATCGATTATAAATGATCAGGTTAATTATGTGATGATATCAATTGATTATGGTTATTAATGGAGGGTGAAGGAAGCGAGAAGTAAAAATATCAAATTAATAAGAAATGATAATTGAAATTAACTTGATAATTTATTCAGCTTCTGGTCTTAATTACTGAACACTTTTACTCTTACGGCAATCAAGTTGAAATTAATTATTTTCACTCAATTTGGGTTGAAGCTGGAAACGGAAAAATGTTTAACTTGAAAGATGCAAAAAGACACACAGACTTGATTAGAGTTTGGGTAAAAGGGTTGATTATCGGTGATTAACTGTAAATTGATGGTGAACCTTGTTAAAGGTGTGCAATTTAGGTGAACAATGGTGAACTATTCTGAAGATTCTGGAGAGAGTTAATAATGGAAAAAAAGAATTAAAGTTTCCTTTGGTTGAAGCGAAAAAATCTATTGAAGAATAGCAATTATAACACAAGAAAACGATATACAGTAAAGGATAAGATGAACATTAAAGTGAAAGGTTTTTCTTGCTTTTTCTTGCTTAGTTGCAAGAAATGGTAAACATTGAGCAATGTAATTAATAAATTAAATATGTGGCTGTAATTAAATATTGCAAGAGACTTGAGTATCGATGAAATAATTTTGATGAAGTACCACACAAAATGTGTCAAAACATTTTGATTTATGCACTTTTTTTTCTCGTATTTTGTGAGTAAATGTAATATGGCAAATGGAACCAAAAATGAGTGCCAATTGCTAATTGTGTTGAATTCAGGGTTCATTTGTGTGTGTGTTCAGGAAAATGGGATTGTGAATGTTTAAATAAATGATGAGGGAAAAGAGAAATGAAAGAAAAAAAGGAGAAAAGGAGAAAAAAAGGTTAATTAGTTAATTACTTTAGCATCCAGTTGAGCAAGCCCTGCAATGAGCGATGATACAATAAGAGGTACTATTAACATCTTAAGCATTCTCATGAGGATTTCACCAGGAAATTTAATCAACATTTGAGTGTCGTCAGAGAGATAAGTGTATCGGAGTAAACCACCGACAACGCCTCCGCCAACCACTGCGGCTATGGTCAAAATTAGTAACAAATTTTCCAAATTCCAGTCTATGCACTGTTTCAATTGATCCAACAGTTAATGGTTAAAGTGGTCAAGTGGCGATAGAGACATAATGTTATCCAGGAAGAGCCAGAGTCCAATTATGGATATTGCCATAAGGATGAATATGTAAAAGAAAGAGAGAGTTAATTAATTTACAAATATATTGATGTTTCAATGCGTGTGTGTATAAATTATTAGACTGTTTATCATTTCAGATGAGACATTAACAAAGCATTTTCATGTGTTACTGTTTGTGTGCTTGCTTTCATTTTCCTATTTTTTCAAGGTTTGCTGGTTTCATTAATGGTGCTTCCAATTTGACTTTTAAAGCAAATTGATTGCAAAATGATTTCTCTTTTTTTCTTGGTTCAATGGTGGAAATGAAGAAAAAAATCCTTTGAAAAACAGGAATGAAAAAAATAAGAGATTTTCACTTCTGATTGATAAGTGGGTTGGGATAAACAAGGATCTATTACTGTGAGTAAATTATGTTTGTTGAGCTGTGTTTTGGTGTAAGTAGTTTGTTAATATTCATCGCCTTTTTACCAAAACTTTCCAAGGTGATCAGGTCATAAAAACTAGTTATACATAAAGAGTATCTTCCATGTTGGAGTTGTTGGTATATACAATAGCAGGTATCGACAGTAATTATGCTGGTGATCAAC